GGTTTTCTTAATCTGACGGTTTGAGAAAATTATTTCGTTTCTGAGATGCACAGTCAACCAAACATACATATATAATTGTAAACACTTATTATTTTATCCGTGCATCTATCATCATACATAATGTGACCAACCGTACTTCTTTCGGAAGTACAGTACTTCTTTTTTCGCTCTTGTACTTCGTACTTCGAAGTACAGTCAAATGTACTTCTTTGCGATACTTCGTACTTCAGGAGGGAGAATTTGTAACTAGTTGGCGACAATTTTCGGATCGCTATGTCACTTTTCTTCGTTTTTTTATTTAGATGGGGTCGATGGGTTTAGGATTATGGCAGCCCTACAATACGAGCACTCTACAAGGTGGTGTTCTCTCTGCCCTGCTCTGGATTGCGGTTGTAAACGACCTTCTAGAGAAACTGGAAAAAGTGGGATGCGCCTTTGTAGATGATGTGTACCTGAACCAGATAATTAGGTGGGCGATCAACGGCGGCTGTCGTGGGAGCCTAACCTTGAGGAAAGGGTAAGAAAGGTGCCGGTCGCCTGGTCCTGCTGTAACGGAGCCATCGGTAAAAGGTGCGGTCGCTCGCCCAAATTAATTCAATAGCTCTAGGAAACCAGATTTAAGCCTATATTGTTTCAAGGAGCCCTTGTCTGGTGGAACTCACTAGAGAAAGCTACACTTGTAAAATAGAAATTAGTGGAGCATTAGGAACCACACCTATACTGGCGCTTAACATTCATTTGTCGAACACGGAGCCTGCGGATATTGCAGACAGAATTGTCGCAGCACGAACTGCTATTGAGCTAAGGAAAACCGGGCTCTTTTGTGACATAAAAAAGGAAAATAAGACGTTTCTCTGTTGCAGAAAATATTTTTATAGGCCACTTTAAAACACGTTACCTCTCAAGGGCTAGTGAGGGGGATTCTGACAGGCAATTGTGCGATTGGTTATCATGCGGGGAGACAACAACTTTTTTATCAGCTGTCAAGAGGTAAATGAAGTGGAATCATCTCCATACTTTCTATTAAAATGTCCATCTTTCGCAAGGCTTAGATGGAAGCATTTTGGCTCGCACTTTTGAACAAACACTGAGCTCGCAGGGATCGAAATTAGCTGCATTCGAAATTTCGTAATCGGCTCGCGACGTTAACTTAACACAAACTAACCTGTACTTTCGCTTCGACTAGGTCGTCAATTTCTTCTACATTTTTTCCATATGTAACAAGAAGTAATTGGCAATATTTATTTTTACATACTTGCAAATGCCCGCGGCGCCTTATAATATCTTTTGCGTTGCCAATACAAAAATAGCGTTTAAAAGAAAAAGCGGTCAGTAAAGTAAACATTTTTAGTTCAAATTGAAACGACTAAAGAGCAGAATCCTTCGCACACATAGGCCAAAAATAGTAGCGCTGTGTTATCGTATGGAATATTAGTCCCTTTCGATGTTCGAGGTTTACTGATGATCTTATTTCCACCTGTGAGATCTCTGCCAAGGGTGCGTGATATTCTTCTATGATCTTGCAACTTCTGCATTGGTCCAATGTACCACGTAAGCAAATAAAAGTCGTTGTAAGAATCTTCGCTGTCCCATAAGAGGAAAAGTTTTCCCGTACATTGGCTAAATAAGGGTAATCTGAATTTTGACCCCTGTGTGACACGCCTTAACCGTCTCCAATCGGGACCAAAATTTATATGTGATATCTTCATCTGTAGCAGCATCGGCGTGGAGGTTGAGGCTTAGGAAATCTGATGTAAAAATTTGCTTCCTAGGAAAAAAATCCTCATGAAAGTAATAAACGTTTCGAATTTGCATTAACAAACTCGGATCATAAATACTGCTTATATAAATAACTCGACTCCAGCGCCACCTAGCAAGTTTTCTAGTAGCCTATAATAGGACCATGAATGCATGGCATATTCTCTGAAAATTTGACCGAAATCTATCTCGTAATTTTTGAGTTAAGTCCAAACAACCAAAACGGCAATTATTTTATATATATAGATTAAATAAATATCAAGTGTGTCATTATAGAATTTACAAGGTATTATACATCAATCGCATTGAATAGTCCAACAAGTTTTTTGACAAGAATTAGATCCACAAAACACACAAAAACCGTTTCCACTCATCATGAATCACAAAATTTAGTTAGTAAAATTTCAAAGGTTATTTTCATGTAACACCACGAGTGCTTTGATCGCCCATGATTGCGTGATGGCAGACGGAAAGGAGTAAGGGGACACACAGTCCATTGATACTATATAAAGAGTGAACAAGAAGGGAGCGGAGTTCCAACGTTTTTCATGTATAAGTAAACTTAAGGTTGCTGAATTCAAAATTATCTGAAAAATTCGTGTTTTTCTTACATACAAATTCTTATGCCTAGTGATTTGAGCTAAGAAATTAGTAAACTTCACATACACAAATAAGTTAAAAAAGTGATTTTTAACTGATATTTGTTGAGCTAAAAGTTACATCATGTGCTACTAATTTTTTCTTAATATATGGGGTATTCATAACGGTGTCGTAAGTGTCCTATTGAGATACACGTAAGCTTCAAACGCCTAAAACATATTCTACGGGGATTCGCAAAGTACCATCAAAGTCATATTATGAATTTTCGCAGTGTTAAGAAATAGTTGGTTGTTGTTCAAGTTCTCTAAACATTTATTTAAGCTTCTAATGTTTACGACATACAACAATACGACACTTACGACACCGACACCCCCAATAATTTTAAAATAATCCTACCTCGATTTATGATAATTTCAATCCTAATTCCAACTATTTTGAAACTGGGATTAAATTAATCGTAATCGTAGACGCACTTAATTAGATATGTAATTTCATCGTCAAGCTCAAATTTAGATAAAGGTTTTGATTCGCAGATGCACATACTTATGTACGTATTAGGAATGTTAATCCCAGGATCCCGGACTTTGCGAGGTCTCGAAAATCCCGGGATTCTTGGCAAGTAATCCCGGGATTTTGAGGATTTGTAATTTTCACTGATGGCAATAATAATAATAAAAACTCATTTTCTTGACCAGTATTGGCTATATTTCTTTTTATACCCAAGCGCACTTGTGCACAAGGGTATTATAACTTTGTTCACATAACGGTTGTTTGTAACAGGAAAAACGAATCGAGGTAGATATAGACAAATGTATACATAAATGATCAGAATGAAAAGAGAAATCGATTAAGCGGTGACTGTCTGTCCGTCCGACCGTCTGTCCGTCTGTGCACACGATAACTCGAGTAAAAATTGAGATATCTTAACGAAACTTTGTACGTGCACTTCTTTCGTCGTAGGACGGATGGTATTGAAAATGGGCAAATTCGGACAATAACCACGCCTACTTCCCATATAACGGTAATTTTCAGATATACGAAAACCGTGATATTTTAGTAACTACTGAAGATTATTCACTCAAAATTGGTATTTACCATAACTTTTAAACGAAAAATAATAATATTATAAATATTTGGAAAATGGGCGTAGCCACGCCCACTTATGGTTACATGTGTATATCTTGGTAATCCCTGCGTTTCTTTCTTACCAATGGCAAAGGTGTTAGCCTTACTACAGCATACCAAATGGCCGAAAATTTTTAAAATCGGATAATAACCACGCCCACATCCTATATAACGGTAATTTGGAGAAATACGAAATCTTCGATAAATCAGGAAATATTAAAGCTAATTTATTCAAAATTGATGCTTGCAACAACTCTTTACCAAGAAATACGTTTATGATACCGCCCACTTATGATCACATATGTAGTTATATGTATCTCGGTAACCGGTTTACCAATGTGTACTAAACTCGGTATGTTTATTGTGCTTGCCACATTAAAGCAAAACCTTGAAAATTATTGAGATCGGACTAAAATTACGGCCACTTTTCATGTAACGGTAAATTTCAGAAATGCTTGAAACTTCAATATTTCGATATATCAGGACGTTAATTTACTCAAAATTGATACACCCCGGCTTACCATGTAGCGGTAGCTTTCGGAAAGGTGAAAATCATATATTTAATACTTGCGCCGGGTATTTAATGTTCGGCTCCGCCCGAACTTAGACTTTCTTACTTGTTAATTTTTGTTTATGATAAAATATAACATATTCTGTAAACACGTTCATTTGTTATTTTAACAACCTTGTCATTGTTGAATCTATTATCGATTCGACACTGCAATTCAAACAAAAATATCTGATTTATAAATCTGCCTTTACGTCCACCAATTCCATCACTTAATATCGCTTTAGATACCCAGTGGATACAACTTTTTAAAGCAACGAGTTTTTTAAGGTATTTGGCAAACAGTTGGAACATACGAGTTACGAGATTATTATGTGAGTAACGATTCGGTACTTCGGGTCAGGGGTTGTATTCGTTACCTAGTAACGCTCTAATGAGAAGCTTGTTTGTCATGGCAGAAATACACTCGTAGGTTTGCCATTACCTGCCGAGGGGCGACCGCTGTTAAGAAAAAGCTTTCTCCTCCATTATGTGTTTTTTTTTGCGATGTTGCTTTGACCAGGGCTTGAACCCTGGCGCTGCGAAGGTTAAGCGCGCACTGCTTACCACTAAACCACAGCGGCCGCCACTAAATTTCCCATACATTTTTTAGCTGGATAACTAAATATCCTTAAATTTCGACAACTAATTTTCTGTGTCTATAAATTTCGACAACTCAATGAATGAATGAAGTTTCCAGACTTTTGAGACTTCGCGATTAATTTATCAGTACTTCAAATAACTTCAATAAAGTTATTATTTTATTGACAGGCAATGCAACCCATGTCGGACTTCAGTTAGTACGTAACTCCTGAATACCTTAACTTCCCACAACCCTTCTACAACTGGCAGCTCCCTTCCTCCTAATGATAATAACTTAACAAACTTTTATTGAATAAATTTTATTATTCTTGCATATTATTACTAAACTTAACCATCTAATTTTAATTTTAATAAGCACTCGTGATATTCATATATTTCATTCAGTTTCGTAATCAAAATCAAAGAGTAAATTTTGTTTGAGTTCATATCAGCCTTCTTCCATTTCCAGTATGTCATTAATCATTTTAGCATTAAGCTTTCGGTTTCAATCTATTGACGGTGACGATATCTGAAGCGGCGTACGGTTTTATAACGGTAGCCATCTTGGGCCAACTCTGCGCTCTTAACTTGCGGTTCTTCAGCAACATCGTTACTTGGTGGCAAGTATTCTCCGTTAGGAACATCAACGCTCGCAGCTTCCTCCGCTTCGGCTTCACGACGATGACGACGGAACTTCAGGCGGCGCACAGTCTTATAACGGTAACCATCATTATCCAATACTGTTTTCAAATCTGGAGCCAACTCGACCTCAACTGGTGGCAAATATTCGGAGGATGGCAACTCAGACACATCACGACGATGACGAGCACGGAATCGAAGACGGCGTACGGTCTTGTAGCGGTAACCATCATCGGCAACCCGGGTTTCGGCACCTACTGGTGGTAAGTACTCAGCGGTGGGCTCAGCAACTGGAGGCAAATATTCAACGGAAGGAGCCTCACGACGGTAGCGGTATTTTAAACGACGCACAGTTTTGTAGCGATAACCGTCATCAGCGACGCGAGTTTCTGCACTTTCCGGTGGTATATAGTCACCGGCGGGAACGGCTACTGGAGGTAGATATTCTTCTGAAGGTGCCTCACGACGGTGACGGTATTTCAGACGGCGCACAGCTTTGTAACGGTAGCCGTCTTCAGCAAGAGGAGCAGATGCTTCGGCGACTGGAGGTAAGTACTCTGCAGATGGTTCGGCGCTTTCGGCAGGAACGGATTGAGCGATGGCAAATGCAAAAAAGCACGCAGAGAGCGTGACTGCAAAGAGTTTCTGTGGAATAAGGCATTTTACTAACAACTGTAATGTCAGTGATAGCAATCTTGAGGTTATAATGGGTCACAAACCCAATAGTTCTGCGTGGTTAGTCCTGAAAACACTCACCATTTTATTTCTTTTTGTATCCTCTCAATTTAAACTATGTAACTTTTAACGTAGCTTTAGAACGATTTTAGACTGAACTTCTTGCAGATACTAAGCTCAATGATGATATTACTCCACTAGCGTAGAGTATTTATACCTGATGAAATCAAAAATAGCCACCAAATACAAAACTTAATATTTTGCCATGTGTGTATGTAAGAGCAAAGCGAACACAAGTTTTGTGTTATGCAACATTTTAAAAATGGAGTAGAAAACTTTTATTAAAAAAACTAAATAATTCCATATTTGAAAACGGTGGCGTTAAAAATGGTAACAGCATGAAGTGGACATCAAGTGGTCGAATTATTAAATATACATTGTAGCCAACAAATTTTGGCATCATTTTTTTCATTCGCAATTCAAATCCACCCTTTCCATCTCCACCAAATCATAAATGTTGCTGTTGCGAAGAAGAGTACTTGTGATAATATAATAGAATCATTAATAGTAGTGTGTAACCACAGTTCTTATAAGCACTTTTTGGAGTGGAATTCATGTTGCTTAAAGTTGGGCAACTACATACCTTAGCTGCTTCGTTGCTGTTGTTGTTTTCGACCGCAAAGCGCTTTAATTGGCCACCATTCATGCGGTTCCTCTTAAATTGTTCGAAACATATTTAACTATATATTTACAAATTATGATTTAATGCTTCCAAAAATATATTTTTATTTAGTGACGTAACAGCGATAGGAAAATTACTACCCACCCAGTAAAAACCAAAAAAATATAAATAAAATAAAATTTACAAGTCATCCCATCAGCATATTTGCTTTGTACCCATCAATAAATTTTTATACATACATATGTATGTAAGTAAGTACATACATGCATTCATATTAATGAATACTTGAACACCTTTAGAATATTTAAAGAATATCGAGAAAATATTAGAACAATGAGATCAATACGAAATGAATTTGGCTTAAAATTTTTCTAAGTGCTTGGTCAAGGTTATCCTCGAATTTGTGTTTTCTATTTGATGTTTTCACACATATCGATAGACCTACAGTTTTATGCGGATTTTTAAATAACCATTTTCTTAGCAGAAGTACATTCCCAACTTTTCATTTACTATTTACTGAGATATAACGCGCACCAGCAATCTAACCTGGAAGCTTTCGACTGCTATTAACTACGCATCTTTCAACACTCAAAAACCGCACGCGCCAATTAGATCATCATCTTTAATTACTCAAGAGGCTTTGCATTACGCAATCTAATTTTTATACCCGAGCGCACTTGTGCACAA